GCTGTTGGGTTTTTTACCAGTGAAAGACAAAATGCAGTGAGGGAAGAGATGTTTCCACCCCTTTCTCTTTGCAGGGGCCTTTCTGGGCCACAATAAACAGATATTTTAAAAAAAAATTATACTGCACAGGTACTCCAGAGTAAATTCAGACCAAGAAGTATTAACCTATGAACACACAAGGAATGAAACATTATTTTAGATCTGTTCCAGAGTTATGAGGTCTAAATCTATGTGTGAATTCTACATTCCAGACTACATAATCATCTTGAAAATTTTAGAGAACACCACAAAGCCACAGACATTCTCCCCAAATTGCATTGCCTTTAAAAACCATTGTGCTCAAAATAAACAGCAATTATATGTAGTTTTAAAAGGTGCCTTGAACTCTGCTGAGTCAATTGGCTACACACAAATTGTCCTTGAGGATTTTGGTTGTTCCATAAAATATCCCTGAGACTCTTCAGAATGCTGCCCACTCTCCTTGCTACCATTAAGAGAAATGATGCATTGCATACTGGATGAGAAGTGCTGAAAAAGTAGCTTGGGTAGGACAGGGAGATCCTCACACAAACCTGGAAAACTGAGCAATTTTGGAAATCCATAGTAACAAACATTTTGTCTAAATTCAGCAATAGAGAATTCGTCTGAATTGGGGACCCACACAGAGACAAAAATCCCTTCTGCATATGGAAAATACATGAAAAAAAAAAAAAAACTCACAAGGCAGCACTTTACAAGATTCTTTCCAGTATTTGCTCTTCAAAAGCAAAAACCGTCCCAAAATTTTAAAATCACTGCAAACACTGCTTGCATTTTTTTTTCCAAAAACACACACAATAAAGATACAGCTAAAGTTTAAATTCAAATAGTCATAATTTAGCTTAACTTCAAGAAGAATCCAACTTTAGAATTTACAGAATCAAACATTGACAATAATTTGTGTTTTGATGAGAAAAAAAATACATGCTTAGAATTAAACTTAATTTTCAGTCACTCCTGGAAAGGTTTTGGGGATGGGGGGTTTATCCTCTCTTCACTTGCACTCTTGCTTAAAATATATTGTCACCTGCTATTAGATCACAGACAGTTTTCAGTAACTGTGGTTTCCCCAGTAATGCAATTTCCTTGTTCCTGTGTAACTGTATGGTTTGAAAATAATTCAAATGCCTTGTAAAGCTCATCTTGAGGATTTAAATGGGATGAACATTAATAGAATTAATAAAAAGGGTTGTACATGTACAGTGGGATGTTTATAATACATGCATGTAAACCTCTAAAGGAGTATATCACCCATTAGTTTAAAACATTCTGTCCATTAGAGCAGAATTAATGATGAATAGGCCACAGAAAGCTGTGAAAAATTTTTGGATAAATTAAATGGATCCAAGTTGACAAGACCAGATTCAGTTCACCCAGGGGTATGCAGGAAACCAGCCAATGCAATCTGTGAGTCATTAAAGCTTATTTTCAAGAATTTGTTAAAGATATAAAGGGATGCTTTTAAAGGACTGGTGAAGGGCAAACTTCATGGGTATTTCCAAAATGAGGGAAAGGGTCTAGAAAATTATAGATCAGCCAGTCGAACTTCAATGCTCAGAGAGATACCAGAACAAATCACTTAAGAGTCAATTTAAAAGCACCTACAGGATAGTAAATGTGATAAAAAGCAGCTAACATGGATCTGTCAAGAACAAATCTCATCAAAATGATCCAATTCCCTTTCATGACAGGATAATGGGTCTGGCAAATAAGGAGGAGGCATTAGAGACAATCTGTCTTGACTTCAGCACTGCACTTGATGCCATCCCTCTGGACACTCATGAGTAAACTGGGAAATTTGGGGTTGATGAAGACAAAAAATGGGCACAAAACTTCATATAAGTGCAGCAACCAAGAGTTTGTTGTGAAGCAGGAAAGCATTTTAAGCAGAATTCTAGATGAGTCAGTCCTGGACCCACTTCTACACATATTTTCAATTTCAATGGTAGGCTGGAGCAAATACAATATTCATTCCCAAACCAAGAGACTACATATAATGGATTTAGTGGATAGAATCCAAAGTGGATTAAAAAAAAAAAAATTAAAATCAGTTTTGGTAATTTCACAAATTACTACATTTAAAAAGATGCCCAGAACATTATTTTGCAGCAAAATAGTAGACTAGAATAATTTTCCACTCCCTTTGAAGAATTCAGGGCTGCTCTGGGGATCCCAGGTACTGCTTTATGCCTTCAGGCAGAAGTCTTCATAAAACCTTGTATTTTTTCTTACACATTCATATAAAATTAACCAATTTTGATTAATTAAATGTTTTACCGTCCTAAAATAGTAGCACAGGAAACAGAGAGGGAAAACAGCTTGCTTTATTTTAGAACCCTTTGTTTCTTTTCCTTCATTGTTTCTTTCAGCAATGTCCTAGACTGAAATGTAGTTAGATTTTTCTGAACTGTATTTTTTTTAAGTAGTGGTTGTGTCATAATGAATGATAAAGATGATAGTTTTCAACACAACCAAAGCAAAAAGTAGTACAAAGATAGGACCAATCAGGGAATAGGGAGGGAGTGACTCAGGGACATAGGAACAGGGGAAGGAGCCACTGGGGTTTTATTGGCTTTTTGAGGGAAGCTTCTTGTGTCTCCCCCACCCAGGGAATTCCCCCCAGAGTCTGCACATTTCATAGGTGCTCAGCTAGAACAGCACTGATATTGTAATAATAAATGCATTTATCAAAACTACCTTGATTTAGTAAACTGCTAAAATACACTGAGTCTCAAAAAGCATTGGAAGCTGATTTTGCAAAAAGTAAATAAAGTAGCAAGACCTCTACCTATTGTTGCAGCAACTCTTTGTAGAACTCGAGCAAGTCACTTCATCTTCTGTTCTATTTAAAAGCAAATGATAGCTCTTCCTTAATTTACCCCCTGTGCTGAATAATTAGTTAATCTCTGTGTAATTATTTCAAATTGTATAAATGTGCTCAATATTGTTATTAGCATAACCCAAGCTGGGTAAGATACAGAAAAATACCACTGTGTATATTCTATCATATCAAGTTGTTAGGCCTTTGCAGTAAACAAAGTAATAGTTGGCTTAAAGCAAGATGGAACAGGGAAAGGAGAAGCTGAATTAAGTTCTTTAAAAGGAAACCAGAGAGAGTCTAAATAGAGAAACAGAAATATCAACAAAGAGCTGACAGATTGTCAGGGCAGAGGGGAAAAGAAGGCATGACCCAGTAAGACAACCACACCTCCAACCCAAAGGCAGCTCATCTGAAAAGAGATCAACACTTAGAACAAGTGTTCAGAGTGATTTCAGTCACTTGCTGAAAGAGGAAATCCCTGCATTCACAAGTTTGTAGCAAACAGGAAACAGAAAAAAAAATTGGAATTTGCAGAACTGCAGAGATTCCTTCAGAGCTGCTGCAGAGAGCATGGTAACTGCACAGAGTATGAAACATTAAAGCAAAATCCAATGCACCACAATGAAAAGGTAAAATAAACCTCATATTTCTGCATCCAACATCGTTTTTTGTGAGACTCTCAGGTCACTGCCTTGGCCATTCTTCACTTTTCACTTCCAAAAATGAACAAAAAGACAGGGAGAGAGATAAAATCAAATTAAACATCAAATATTTCTGAAAGTGGAAAATGCTACATATTTGAGTGCAACTTTAAAATCCATTTCCATTAAAATGTTGTGCCAAAAATCTGTCATTGGGGTGTGTTGGAGGGTGAATGGCGACAGGTAAATTTCATATGCGCTCCCCATGTTTGCTGTCATGGACTATCTTTTTCTCTAAAGGCACTTATAAACCTGGGTCTCTTGTGTTCAGGGAGCTAGGGAACATAGCTTTTGATTTACAGAGACATGGGAATGTGTGCAGTGAGGAAGCATCCTGATGACCAAATAAAAAAGATCAGTAATTGGTCCGCCAGCCATGGGATGAAGAATGATCAATCTCCAGAGGATAGGGATTTGCAGATTGCATTGCGCTACAGCAAATTAGTTTTTTAACCATTAGTGAAAACTTCCTGTTTAGGTGTGCCAAAGGTGCTTTTTTATTTTGCAATCAATAAAATGCTAGCGCTTATTGTCTTTTTTAGCACCTTAAGTAAGCCTGTTTTAAGGTATTTTTTAATAATAAACAGAATTTCTATAGAGATTTCATGGATTTTTTTTACTTGATGCATCCCCTTTACAACTTGTACAGGGAGAATCAGTATTGATAAAGTCAAAAAATCCTGTTCTCCAAGAGCATGCATGACTTACAGCATCAGAGATTTAGAAAAAAATCAACTGAAAGGGGCCTGTGCATGACCCAAGAATAGATCAACCATCAGTCCAGCTATATGGGCATTTTATTCACCCCAGGCCAGGGTTCCAAGAGACCTCAGCAGGCCAAGACAATGAGAGTTTAAACAGACTTAGGTTTTGAACATCCTCTAGTAGGGCTTGTTTCTGCATTCCTGCTTTTCCTTTCCTCTGGTGGCTTTGCCCTTTCCACCTGTCCATCCCATCAGGAGGACTTGAACAGAATTGTAATCCAAGCTGTTTATCTGTAGCTCATTGTACTTCAAGTGAACAACCAATCTCCATGAAGAGGAAAATCTGTATACTAAAGTATAAAGTTAGCACAGTCTACAGATGTACATTATGTCTTTTTTGTCCCATAGCATAAGTTACAAAGTCAAATCTCAATTTTCCTTTCTACAGCACCCTCCAAAACGGGTAAACAAATGACTTTTTCCTTGCTACCTGGTTGGTCATTGAAAGCACTTTCACACATGCACTTCTGCTAACCTGAAGAGCATTTTTAGGTGTAGTTCTCATGATCATAACTCTCTTCAAAACCAATCTCATGTCATTTCTAACTAATTCCAGGGTGAAACAACCAGACTTCAGAAGTAAAGCCTCCATGAACAAACCCCTGATACCTTCCTGCACCAAACCTGGGAGGTTTCATTTCTCTGGGCTCAGGCCTGTCAGGGAAGGCACTCCAGCAGTCATGGGGTTAATAGGATGGGTTGATGTGTTCCCATTGACACACTGAGCATCCCTGGCTGAGGCACTGCAGGCAGAAAGGGACCACTGATTCCTGCCAGAGTCACTCTCTGTGTACAGAAAAAAGACAGAAAAGAGGTGAAAAAACTTTCACTTTGCTCAATTATTTATCCTAAAAAATTATAAGTTAAAATAATCCCTTTTCAGATCAGACACATGGGTTTTCTCTTAAATGTTCTGATAAATACCAAAGCACATTTCATCTAAATAGAACAGGCTTCTATAATAAAATGTGTGTGATACCAAGCAAGACAGCATGATAACTTCTCATCTGAGAGAGCCAGTAGTTTGGTCCTAAACCCATTTAGGGGGGCACACTAATTAGCTAAAATGCAGCTGGTTAAGTCCACATGATCAAGTGACCTTTCCTTACAGCAGAATTCCAAACTGTTTTACACTGATTCTATACAGGTGATATCAGAATTGGACTGTTCAAATCCAGTATACAAGTTACTCCTTAAGCAACAATATACTGTTAAAAATGAGAATATAAACTGCCTAATAAATTAAGAAATAAGAAAAGGTATCAATATTCACAAAAATAGGTACAAGGAGAATCAAAACCAAACCTGCTTATCCCTGCAATGATTTTTTTTCATGAGATTCACTCACAGAATATCCTGAGCTGGAAAGGGATCACAAGGACCATCAGCACTGTACAGAACACCCCCAAAAATCTCACCTTGTGCCTGCTTGGGTAGCTGGACTTAAAAGTGTCTGGGGCTAATATAAATTTCCCTTACACATCAATAATAATGTTAGAAGAGAGAGAGAGACCAAAATTCTGGGCATGGTAATCTAAATTTTAAAATTTACTTATTAAAAAAATGCAGATATGATGAATCTACTGTTCCATCTTTTAAAAAGAGAAGAGAGAGACAGAAAAAAGTGGGGGAGAAGGTTAATTCTACCAGTTCTGTTTGTAGTTTAGTACATCTACTGGATATCATGTTGCATCAGTGAAGCATAAAACTATAATGCAAGTAAAATTTTTAAAAAGCTATTTTTGAGCATGAAAACAAAAAGTTTTATGTCTTTTACTACAAACTCTTCTACTTACACCAAAAATATATCAAGTTACAATTATCTCAGTGTGCTTTCCAGGAAAATTAAACATTTGGTGTCTTGTTGTTCTTGCTGTTTTCTGTAATGAATTGCAAACATCTAAGTGTTACTTAAATATGCAGCAGGGCTCTGCTCCCCTAAGAGTTAATTTTCTGTCTGTGAAAACCTGCTCCTATTTAACAAAGTACCAGCTCTTAATCAGCCTTCAAGTGTAATGGCTAGCTGGGGTATGAAAACAAATTCACTGCAAAGCTCATCAACACATCATTGTTTCTAACAAATAAATATCTTAATACTGAAACAGCACAATATTTGTATATATAAAATAAAAAGATTAAATGACATATCAATAACTCTGTAATTAATCATCTTTTTGCTTTTCAACATGAACAGTTAAGTGATGAAAATTGATTGGGAGGGTCTCAATAAGTACCAATGGAATTGAATGGAGATGTTCAACTCCATTCTCCCATATTTTAGGATTGTCTTTATAAGAAATATAGAAGAATAGGGATCTGGATAAATTTTTGTCTTGCTTTTTTTTTTATTTTTTCTAACTATAGAGAACTAAGAATAATTAATAAACATAAATCATTTGCCTTCAAGAGACTTTTGCATAAACTGGATTAGAAAAACCAATGGACAGAAAATACCTGAAGAAAACATCTCCATCAATTTATGTTATCTTTTAGGAGCTTCTCTGTCATCATTCCTGCATAAAACACACAACAGCCCTCTCATCTCTTCCTTCCCCTCTGTTCTATACCTGTTGAATATTTACTATCCCTTCCTTCAGTCCAGAACCTGTAGGATATTGCAGTTTGTTGTCTCCCTCTGAAATAACACAATCTAAGTTATATAATTACCAGGAAAGAAAATATGCACTTACAGTAAGGTATTAGAGGCTAATGAATAAAACATGATTTGTTTCTTAAATAGAGTACAGCATTTTATTTTCTGTTGCTGCGAATTTAGGTGAAATCTGTGTAAATCTCTCCATAATAATCCTTAAAACTCCTGAGAGAAAACTTCCTGAGAAAAAAAGACATTAATTCAGAAAAAATCAGTTTAAAGAAAGAACTCAAATCTCCTTGTTAGCACTTTGACCTTGCCATGGATATTTTCTGCACTGGTTTGTCCTGCTCAGCTGCCCAGAGCTCCTGAGCTGGTGGCCCTGCCTGAGGTGTTCTGCACTCCCAGGCACTAAAACCATCACAATTCAGGCAATTTCCCAAAGACCTGTCTCTGTTCCACTGCCCTGATTCTGTTCCCTCCTTTACCCACACTTTTCTCTTCTCTCTGCCTTCTGCTTCTCAGGTATCATTTTTTTTTAATAAGTTATTTCTTCCCCCAGGAGGATAAGATTGGGTTCTCTTTCTGTTCTACAGGAAATCTGCCTTTTGTTTCTTCAATGGCATGGGGAGAGCAACAGTGTAGGAGTGATGAGGGTTTGGGGGCTTTCATGGGGATGATAGATGGGGGGTTTTAGTCAGTTTTGGTTTGTTTGTGGCTCTTTTTGAAAGTTTTTCTTCTTTTTAATAATTGGATTTCATTGTCTCACTGCCCTCATCCACAGGAAATCTCTTTTCTCACCTGGTGCTGTTCTCATCTCCTCACAGTATTAACACTAAAATCCCTGCACAACTGAAAATGAGAGAAAGCATCCAAGTCCCAGATCGTATCTTCCAAGGCATTACTCACAGGAGCTGCAGGAGCAGAACTCAGATTATCTCAGAAGTTCAGTGTGTGATTGACACAGCTTGAGTGTCTCTTCAAGTAAAGCAAATCAAGAGACTTCTAAAATAAAAGTGGAATAGGAAACAAAGATCTTTACAGGCACTATGCCCTAATCTTAATTATTTTAATTAATATTTTATGGGTTGCAAATGCAAGGGGTTTTATGCTTTGCCACTTTTGTGTAATCAAGTTTCTTTCACTATGAGCTGATTAATCTCTGTTTTCTCTTTTAGATGATTGCATTTGTTCAGAGTTTAGCTCAAAATGACACATTGTAGGAATAACCTATTGAAAAAGCTCATCCTTGTTGGTAATTAGCTGTAATGACTTCTAAAGGGAAAAGGAACAGCAAGGGCAGGGGAAAAAAGGGTTCTTTTTTTTCCTCTCCTCAGCATTTATGTCTTAAAGATATACTGCACTAACCCCAAACATTGCTGGCTCATTTGTTAACACACAGGTGGTTTGTTTGTTTGTCAATTTGAGACTTAAAATATTGAACATTTTATCACTTGTGACATCTGAACTCCTGAAATTATGAAACTGTAAGCTGGCTATGCTTAAATTTTCTAAGCTTAATGATCGCTGCTCTGCCCACCAAATTTATTTGACAGATATTTTGTTGCACACAAAAACTTATATCCACAGATATATATTTGTACGCACATATACCTTCAAACTTTCTTCCACTTTACCTTGAACTAAATGCAAACATTTAGTAGGAGGAAAAAAAAAAAAAAAAGTAATGCAACACTGCCATTATCTCACATCTCTGTTAATTTTCCAGGTATTGCGTGAGACTCTCTCCCCAAAGATGAAAGATTTTCTGAGGAATAAGAAGAGTTTCCTCAGAAAGAAAAGTACCAAACTCATCATTGGGATGGAGGGAGAAAAACTGTGATTCCACAGTAAAAAGGGTACAGAGATGATTCTTATTTCTTCCTGCACTCCTTGGGAAACTGTGTAACCAAAAGTAAAGGGCTGTTATAGACAAAATGCTTGTTCTAACCACACCACATCCTCAGGACAATGAATAAGGAACATTTTGTAAAATAGAAGAACAGATAAGGGGTAAGAGATTCTTCATCCACTTGACAGAGAGGAAAAAGGGAGGAGGGAAACAAAGATCGCTGCTATGTGAGATCAGAAGAAAACTAACTGCAAAGAACAGCAACAGAGGCTTGTTTGAAGCTCTCAGATCTCCTATCAGTAAGTTTTTAAAACTGAAAGGAAGCCTCTCTTTATTCTCCTCCCTCCCTTCTGGATCAAAATGAGGTTCCTTTGAACAAGTAAAACAGAACTCATAGACACACAAGTGTAACAAAGTGATAAAAGGGCTGGGGCCAGAATGTAACCATGAAGGGGATCAGAGGATAAAGGAAGAGTCATCTGAAAAGTATCAGGAGAAAAATAAAAATAGCAAAGATGATCAAATAAGATTAATAAAGTTTAATGTTAGACCAGACCTTTTGTGTCTTTTCCTAGAATGGTTGTTGCTTAAAATATCAAGGAACATATTTAGTCCTGATTGTGCTGTCATTAATATTCTCTGTAATAAAAAATCTTCCAGCATTCCTACACTCAGAGACAAAACAGGGGTTTTTTTTCCAGAAGATTTTAATATATATTTAGTGCCATTTTGTATTTTCTTCTCGATGTGCAACCATATTCTGCCTTTTGGTACCATGACAAACATCTGCATAATTGGCTTACCTTTAAGTGAAATACTCAATATATTTTAATGCACCTATATGGGTAAACAATTCCTGACTGAAAGTCAATACAAATAAATGGAACAGGTCCTAATCCATCTTTCTTTTCTCAGTATTTGTCAATTAATTAACCAGGTTAACATTGTGATGCAGTGCTATTACATCTTTACAAATTATTTTTGGGTTTGTTTGGTCGGGTATTTTTAGCATTTCCAAATATAGATATTTCCACAGTATTTGACTACAGAAGATAGCTATGCTAATCAAATAAGAAATGAGAAAGGGAGCTACTCAGAATTTGTTGTCTAATAGACAATGACACCTATGAGAAAAAGAGAAAGAAAACAAACTTACAGATACCCAGAAAACAAAAAGATCATTTAAGGAAATAGACTGATATGTGCTGAGAATGGGGGAGAAGGGAAAATCAGGGATCTTTCTGTTGTTCATCTAACTCAATGGGGAGAGGAATCCTAAACTGAACATAGCCCTTTCCTCTCTCAAATATTTCACTCAGGGCAGAAAAGTAATCCATTTTA